TCCGGTGGGCCTGGGCCCGCTCAACGGCTGCGTCTCGTGACCTCTTTGGCGCTTCTGAAGCCAAAGTTTGTTCTGAACTGCTGCGCTGATTTTGTCGGATTGCGACGCGTGGCAAGGTTTCCGAATTATCTCCTGGTCGTTGCTTGGGAGCGCGAGAAATAAGACCCTTGCTGGCACGTGACCCTGTCATCGCGCATCCTGGGGCCCTCATCACCATCATAGTCATCGCCATCATCGAACCTCTCATACTCGAAGGCCAGGCGTTTTCGTCGGGCCCGGCCCAGGGACCATCTCACATCAATGCGGCTCATGTCATGATGTTGTACGATATGTGGCTCTTTTCCGCGAAGCCGGATCAAGCCTACTGCCGTGGTAGATGCCTCGCAAGTTGGGCCCAAGCAGATGTGTCGGAGGATCGCGCCGCATCGCTAATGCATCGCCGATGCGTCGGCGACGCATCTGTGATGTCGGCGTGGGGAGAATCGGGCTCCACATCGAGCCGCATCGCCGATGCATCGGCGATGCGGCGCTATCCTCCGACCCCATCTGTTCGGTCCCCATCTGGGAGTCGTAGAGCCTCGTGACGGGTGCCCTGGAGGTCGTGGTGGCCTTCGTGGGAATCCTGGGGGCGCCTTCCTGCAGATCCGACGATGCAAACAAAACATCGCGAACAATCGCGACTGGCGCCATAGAGCGAGTATATATATATATATGTATATATACATATATATACATATACATATACATATAATATACATATATACATATATATATACAGGTGTGACAGATTGTCAGCCGCCTCGATCTGCGACGATCCCTGGGCCCGAAACTGAGCGAAAACGCTCGATAGGTGGTTGGCCACTCCGACGTCGAGGTAGTCAGTGTGGTTCAGGCTGTGTTCAGCGGCGTGGTGCAGGGCGTCTTCGGGGCCGACCGAGAAGAGCGACGGAGACGTGCACGACAGGAGCAGCCATCTCCACGCCGTCGACAACAATTTTGGGGGTCAAGCGGATGTCCGTTCCTCGTTGGCAAGCTCAACAGCAGGCTCGTGGAGAGCGAGCTGGAAGCCAGACTCGTTCAGCTCGAGACCGACATGCGCGACCTGCCACGAAACCAACGACACGTCCTTTGCAGAGCCTGCTCGGGACGCCCAAACACACCGTCGATTATCCAGGAGGCCACCGCCCAGAAAAACGAAGAGGACCTGGCAGCGGAACGGGGCGAGTTGGAACTGCTCAATCGCGAGCTCTGCTCGATCGAGACGAGGCAGCGGCAGCCCCATAAGATCGCACCGTTCCTCTACTCTCGCATCGAAACCACGAAAGAGACGGAGTCGCTCGACGCGACCATCTGTATCCTGCCGGGCCAGCGTGAGGATATCTTCCAGATCCTGGCTGAGACCGAGCACTAGCACGAAACACAGGTTGGCAGTTTGCGCGGCCGACGCTGTCAAGGGCCGATTGCCCCCGAGCCCAACAAGCCCGAAGATGAGGGTATCATTGTGCTGGAGCGAGCGGATCGAGGCAGGGGCGCCTGGGGCTGGCGGCCTTCACTCAAGCATCAATAACTGCTCCTGCGCGGAGAGCCCGCCACTCACTGCCCCGATGGGAGCGCGGGGGCCTCCTGGGCTGCCCGCGACGCAGGTCCTGCTGCGGGCCTACGGCGTCGCAGAATATAGTTTTCTTCGCGCTTTCTCTCTCCGACTCAACCTGGTTTTCCGATTCGTCGTCCTCCTCCTTGTCCTTGTCCTTGCCGCCCTCAACAAGATGCCAAGTCAAGTCAAGCACGCGTTGCACCAAGTGAGCAGGGGTGAAACGTATCGGAAATAATCACCGAATGCAGCCAGAATGCCTTCAGCTTCCGGCCCAAGCCATCACCGCGCGCCCCCACGCTCTAACTCGAGCTGCAGCACCGTCTGGGTGGAAGGAAGCAGCGAGTCGCTCGCGGGAGCCGGCGACCTCGAGACAATTATTCCAAACTAGATGGCCCCGCGTCTCCCTCGGTTTGCCCCTCTTTCTCGGGCCGGCGACCCTGCGCAGCACCAGGGTGCCTGGTTCAAACACCGAGCGTCGCGCGCGGTCTTGGCCGGGTCGGCGCGCTAATTGGCCCATGAATATCATCTGCCGTCTCGCGAGGTCGTCGCTGAGCTTCGTCTGGCCAGCGATCCCAAGCACGGTGGCGTTCGACACTCTACTGATGCATACAGGAGGCACTATGCAAATCTTTCCGATGCAGCGATTCTGGAAGCCGCCCAAACGTCGACGTTCGGCCTGGTTTAGACGCGCCGCGAAGAGGGCGCGCATTAATTTGGATGCAACGCACGCGCTGAAGATGTGGAGCTTCCGATTCCTCGTCGACAAAGCTCGAGACCAAATCGTGTGTAGTATTCTGAAGTCTTGCATCGCTGCTCCGATTCTGCGGGGCAATTCCGACGCGCATCTTCCGTCGGCAGAGATCGACGCGCCCAGGTGAACGATGGAATGCTCATTGGCGAGAGGAGCGCCGGCGTTGTCCGAGATGCCGTCGTTTGCGCGCACCTTCATCAGCTCCACCTTCTTCCGATTAAATTGCAAACCGTAGTTTGCCCCGGACTTCAGCGCGCATGTCATCAGCTCCTGCGCAGCCTCTGCGCTGGCGCCGAGCAGCAGCGCGTCATCCGCGTGGACAAGATCTCGGACAAGCTCTTCTGGAACAGGTTGGCCTCGTGTTTGGCGAAGCTCTCTCTGAGCATCGTGTAGAAGCGTAGTCATAACAACTGTAAATAGGAACGGTGACAATGGGCATCCCTGGGCAATTCCGTACTCTTGCTTTCTCTCTTGTGACGTTGCGCCGAAGTCGGTGACCTCGAAAACGCTGTCCTCGTAGATAACAGCAACCATGTATACAAACCGATTATGGCATCCAAATCTTCGAAGCGACGCGGCCGGCGCCCGAGGAGACGCAGAATCGAGGGCCCTTGCCCAATCCAGCACCAAGAAGAATGTCTTCCCATCGCGAGCGGCCCATGTCTCTTCAGCACATCGGGCGATAGTTGTTGCTGTCCACGGGGCCCCCCTTCTTGTAGATCATACTCACCCTTGCCTTGTGCCATCATCTGGCCGCGCCCCGTCTCCCAAATCACGTTCCAGAAACGAGTGATCCACTCGAGCGTCGGGGTGCCTTCTCCGGAGGCCGCTCTCCAGAACTCCGGGCGTAAGTTGTCCAAGCCTCCTGCTCTGCCTTGCTTTGCTTTGCCCGCTGCTTCCCTGACATTTTCCCGCGTGATCGGGTCGAGGGCGATCGGCAGCTCGCCGCCATGCAGCTTGGCAGTTGGCATCGCCGTCGTCGGCCGCGCTGCCCGCTGCGCCCGCTCGAGATGCGCCGCCAAAACGTCAGCCCGGCTGTCGCCATCCACGACCTGGCCCGCCTCGTTCTTGAGTCTCCCCTGTAGCGGGCTAAACCCTTTCCAGAGCTTTCTGGTCTCGCCCCAGTCTCCGTTCGCCGTTAGCTCCTGCAGCCAGGCGGCGCGGTCGGCGGCGACCGCCATTTTGATATGCTTCGCTAGCTTCTTCTCTTCAGCTATGTCTCCTGTCTGTCGAGCCGCCGCGCGGCGGTCTATCAGCTGCAAGGTTGAAGGGCGCGTCCAAGGCTTCCTTGGGCATCGCGTCTGCCGGTGCAAAGCCTGCTCCGAAGCGTTGTGGAATCCGTCTACGAGCTGGCGCCAAGCTAGGTTCACGTCGTCGCGGCGAGGCGTCCCGTCGGCGAAAGCCTCGAGCGCGTTAGCAAGCTTGTCCGTGAATCGCTGCCGGGTCCTGATGTCGGCAAGCTGCGACGCGTCTGCCACGGCGCCGTCCGTATTCGCGCACGTCTTCTCCACCTTCGCGTGGACACGTGCCTGAGGCAAGAAATGTTGAGATGAGAGCGACATGTCCCGACGCGCGGTCACATTGAGCACGTTACGCAGCCAATTCTGGGCACGCAGCATAACATCTATCCGGGAGTGCGCACGCCAGCCAACTGGTTCGCAGACAGGGCGCCCCACGCTCTAGTTCGCGGCCAAGTCCTGTTGTTGAGCGGAGAAAACGTGTTGGACAGACACATTTTCAGCTGCGTGCACATCCCCGCCAATAGGTGCCGATTCGCGCCAGCGCGAACAACTTGTCAAGGGTGCTGGAACACGCGTTGGCCGATGATCCCTGCGTCGTCGTCGAATCGATCATGCAATTTGGCATTGGAGCCCCCCGGGATCAACTTCGGACCATGCGAAGATTGAGTCTGAACACCCCAAGATCATGGTAAAACCCTTGCCGATCTGGATATTCAAACCCACTGCGCGGAGCGTGAGCCGAGAAAATCACAGCCTTGCCCCCAGATGCGCGTGCTCTCAGCGAGGACATTCGATCAGAGAACTGGCAAAATCCAACCACTGACTGTCTGAAGGCGGGGTAAATCATGAATCCCGCCCTTGCCCTCTCTTCCCCTTCCGCACCGCCGGCGCCACCGGGCAGCGGGACGAGGCGCCCGGTCTCACTCGCGAACGTGTCTGGCTTTGGCCCCCAAGATTCTTGGATGCACAGAACTTTGATTCTATGTTCCAGGATGCTATCGCGAATTCGTCGTTTCGCACAGGTCGCGCACAGCGACCTCGCATAACATGCAATGGCAACGTGGCTTCGCCATTCCGTCGCCCCCGAACTGTTGGAAGCTGGGCGCGAAGTAGAACATCTCGGCAATTAGGCGAGTGCTGCTGGCAAGTGCCATCGCCCCCTGGTGAAACATCCCTGCTCGCGCCCCGCTGGCCCCACTAGCGGCCTCCTTTTCCAAAGTCTTTGCCTTTGAACTTCCCCTTCCCGGTGCCTCTGGCGGGAGTGCGTTTCAACTTCTCCGCCAGCTTCTTCGCCAAGTCTGCGCATTCCGGGAAGCCCGCGCTCGTGAGCCACTCCTCCCATCCCCGCCCATATTTGACATTGAGCCCCCCCTCGTCGGTCGTCACTCACCGCCGCGCCCTCCCCTGCCCAGACGTTGCCCGCCCCCGGGTCTGCCCAGGCGCTGTTCGAAGTGAAGCCACAATCTTTCAAAACGTGTTTGACCCCGAAGGCAAAAGAGAGGACGATGCGCTTGCGGAGCCCCTGGTCCGCCTTCGCCCACACGGAATTGCCGCCTTCCTTGAGCGGGGCCTTGCGGAACGCCTTAACGGCTTCGTCACGGTTTGCTGCGCTTGCGAACCTGGCAAACACGATGCCCCGGAACTCCCCTTTAGAGTAGATGTCGGTCGGCTGAGGCTTGTACCATTACCAGAGCTTGTTCTCAATAAAGGCCTTCGCCCTCTCGATGTTCCCGACCGTCTGGAGCCCACCGATCACTGCCGAATCGTTCTTAAACTCCTCATTCGCGTTGCTATTGAGAACTCCTGCCGTCTTCATCATCGAAATTTGTTCCTCCGAAGCTCGCAGTTGCTGCCGTACTTCCTCATCAGCCCGGGAGCTGGCGTACGAGCCCTCCCGTGTACGACTCTCGTAGGTCGCCATGCGGATCTCGAGGCTCTCCAGGCGCTTCTCTGTTGCTTGCATCCTGGAGCCGAACGCGTCGCCCAGCTCGCCCACCTTGCGCTCGAGCCCGGACATCGCGTTCCGCAGAAGATGAACCTCGTGCTTCACCAAATCGGCAATATGCTGTAAGGTCGGCGCCTGCTGGTACTGAGCCTCAGGTGCTGCTCCATGCTGCTGTTGTGGAATCTCCTTTGCTTGCTGATGCGCCTCCGGTGGCGTCGTAAGAGTTGCCATCACGTGCACCTCCGGTCGGGGAGGGGAGGAAAACAGGTCGAGATCGTCCATCATGTGGAGCGGGCTGAACAAGCGTTGGCGGACATCTCGATCGAGAACTTCCCGAACTGGGATCCCTGGCGCACGCGTGCCGGCCATCGCGAGATATGGGAAAAGGGAGCGGGAAAGGTGGCGTGGTGGAAAGAGGCCGGGTAATGCTAGAGAGCTTTCCTTGCTATGGAGCCCTTGAGCCCTTGAGCCCTTGAGCCCTTGTTTCTTGAGCCCTTGAGACAGGAAGCGAAACGATCCATACCGCCCCTCGTCCTTTCACCTTCCCGACGGCTGCCACCCTCCGTCTCTCATCTGTTCTCCGTCCTCTGCTTCATCCTCCTTCCCCTCCTCATTTGCATGTCCCCCCCTTCCTGATTCCCCCCCCCCCGCTCCCTCCCACCTACAGCCTGCCCTCTCTCTCACCCTCCTCCCTCTATCTTCCCTGCCTCCTTCCTTCCCTTTTCCTTCTCCTCCTTTTCCTCCTCCTTCTCCTCCTCCTCTTCCTTTTCCTCCTCCTACTTCGCTTCGCTGCGCACTACTTCCCATGCCATGCTCGATCCACAGATGCTCATGGACACAGGGCAGGCCTCACTCCACGCCTCCGCACCATCTTCCGAACGAGCCCCCAACGGAAGAACCGGAGGAGACTCGGCTTCCTCCGCCTCCTCCTCCTCCCTTCCCCCGCCCGTTCCCCTCCCCCGTCCGCTCCCCTCCCCCTTCTCCCCACAACCCTGGCTCAGATCGCCTCTGATGAGGCCGCGAGCCAGGGCCAGGCGGCCACCGTCGCCCTCCGACCGTCTCCTCCGCCCTCCCTCGCCCTCCCCAATGCCCCGGCGCGCTTAGCGTTAGGTCGGGCATTTCCCCCTGCAGGCGGAGCTTGAAGGAAGAACCAACAACGGTCAAACCATACTCCAACATATCTAAAAAATGATACGACTTTTTGTAAAACAAATGTTCCGCCTGTAGACGATATTTTAAAACTATAGGTCCCCAGGCGATTTGTGTAAAATACCTTTGGCTGCTCCTCCTGCGGAGGCACGTGCCCGACGGAACGCTGGCGCGCAGGGCGGCCCCGCCGTCCGGCGGCCTCGCCCCCCATGGCGCGCAAGGGCGCCCCCCGTGCACGGGCCGCGCGCGCAGGCGAACGCCGCACGGGCACTGCGAGGTCGGGCATGCCCCTCCTGCAGGGGGGGGATTTGGGAGGAGAAACCAAACAGATCCAAACCATGCGCAAAACATGGTCAAACAGATATGTAACATTGGCTCCCCGAGTGCTTTTCTGCCACTCTTGACCATTCCTCCTGTAGAGGGACAGGCCCGACCTACAGTCGGGGCGTTGACCTAAGGAACCCTAAATAAGGAACGAGGCCTCTTTTTTCCACAAGTTAAACTTCGATTTGCTATCGAAAACAACAGGAAAACCTGGGCCAAGCTGTGAAACACTTAAGGAACGCGGAGCCCCTCCCCAACGAAAAGGGTTCCTTCTCCAGGGCCCCGACTGTAAAAGGCACTGCTGCGGAAATTTGCGGCCGGAGGTGGGGAGGCGCTGGCGGCCGCGCTGCGCTCCGGCACTCGCGCCTACAGTCGGGGCGTTGACCCAAGGAACCCTGGCTGGGGAACGAGGCATCTCTTTCCCATACACTGGACTCACTTCTATAGCGCTCACTTCTATAGTGCATGTGCGTATGATGGATACATCAAAGCACAACGCACATGCCCCGCACATGCCCGGGCACGACGTGCACAGTAGGAAGTCCATCCAAGAAAGGCCGCACAGGCCTGGCACATGACTGGCACATGCCGCGCACATGACAGCGCAAAAACGGCCGCACATACACCCACCCAGGGGTATAGATGTGAGTGCGGTGTAAATTAAACTTCGACTTCCCATCGAAAACCTCAGGAAAACCTAACGCAAGCTGCGAAACAATGAAGGAGCACGGAGCCCCTCCCCATCGAATGGGGTTCCTTCTTCAGCGCCCCGACTGTAGGCGACCAGAGGTGCCGGTGGTGCTGGTGCCGATGCGGATGGCGCGACGCGAAGACTGGACATGCCAACAGATGCGCCAGTGGGATCTGCTGATGTGCCAAATCTCCCTCGTGCTGGGATTGTCTCTTCTGTGAATGGTGCTGCTGCCTGGACGCAGTCGTCTGGAATTCGACGCGGTCTCCGTCGCGAGGCTTCTGTATTCCGTCCACGTGCTGATGGAAGTGCGTGGACTGTCCCGCACGGGGGCCCTCGTGCTGCTCAGAGCGGCGTCCAACGGCGACCAGCCTCCTGAGCAGTTCCGCACACGTGAGGCTGGCGCCGCGCAGAGCCATGCCAGTCCTGGCGAGCACGGCCACGTTGGTGACTACCTACCAGACCATCCCAACCCAACCCGAAGACCCGAATTTCGGGTTGGGGGGGGTATGGGCTCCATATGTGTTTTTTCGATGCTCCCGGACCCCCCCCCACTAGAAATCGAGGGTAAATCTGAGCCTTCGGGTTGGGTTGGGGTGGTTTGGTGGGTGGTGAGTTGGTGCTGCTGGAATTGATCTTCGTCGGGGAGTCGACTGTGGCGCTGCAGCGCTAGTGGGACCGATGCTGGGGCTGGACGCGGGCCGCGGCAAGGGGCAACCTAAACCCTAAACCCTAAACCCTACGCCCTAAACCAAAAACCCTAAACCCTAATCCCTAATCCCTAAACCCTAAACCAAAAACCCTAAACCCTAATCCCTAATCCCTAAACCCTAAACCCTAAACCCGAAGCCGACTGCCAGGCGCCTGCCGACCGGCCGTGCGGCGGAGCAGGAGGCGTCTCGGCGGCGGCTGCAGAAGGCGGTCGAGAGCCGCACCCCGGAGGGCCTGCGGGCCGACTCCGAGGCCGAGGGTGCCACTCCGAATGACTACAGCTGGTTGACGTATGGCACATTCGGCTCGAGCACCGAGTCTGGCAGAGGCCCATCATTAAGGCAAGCAGTGCAGGCTTGTGGCTTTGTTTAGTCTTGGTGTGAGATGGATGGACTAATTCAAGGTCCGTTGTGCTTCGCCAGTGGGTTGTCCGTGCCACTCTCGGTGGATAGTGCGTTGTTCGACTTCCATTCTGGGGAGTAGGCCCCCCTTGCATGACACATTGTTGTCATTGACGTTTCCAGTGGGACGCTGGCTTGCCGCCACCATTCAAAAGGAATGTCTTGCGCCATTCCGCTGTGGCCTTCGAACATGTCTGGTGGATTATTCGCGCAACATGTTCTTGGACAGTACGCCTGTTCTCACATGTTTATCTTCTATCACTCATTTATCTGAGCTCGCTTTCGCCGATCCGCTCTCGGGGATGTTCTGCCCCGGGTCAATTCAGAACCGGGTCAATCAGGCCTTGCAAAATCCTTGCAAGATCCTGCTTCTACACATCGCTGTTAAGTTGCTTTGCCGGGATAATTTCCCCCTCCCACCCCTCTGGCCACCCCCAACCAACCCTCTGGCCAATCCCCTCGGGAACGCACTGAGCCGGGTCAATACAAACCCGGGTCAGTCAGGCGGATCCTGCAAGATCGGGCACCCAAGCCCGGGTCAATGCCAAAGATCCTGCAAGCTCGGGCAGGATCCTGCACCCGAGCCCGGGTCAGTGCGACCCTGGCCCTGCAGGATCCTGCAGGATCGGGCGCTCTGGCTGCCCCCCGTGTGCAGTGACCCCCCGCCTCAAGGCTCCCGACGCCCCTTCTGCCCCCGTCGCCCGGTGCCCCACGGCAAGCTGGGGACCCACGGCGGGGCGCCCCTCCAAACGCTTCGGGGGGCTGCGACCGGAAGGAGACATGCGCTCGTGGCCCAGTCGTAGCAGCCTCGTGATTCATCCGATCATCTGTTGGTCATCCGTTTGGCACGGGGACCGCCTCAATACCGTATGCAGCCAGCCCCTCCCGTCGTCGTCGTCGTCGTCGTCGTCGTCGTCGTCGTCGTCGTCGTCGTCGTCGTCGTCGTCGTCGTCGTCGTCGTCGTCGTCGTGCTGCAAATCACGGTCGTCGTGGGCGCCTGCGGCGCCCATGGCGCCCGCGGCGCCGCCCGCGGCGCCGCCCGCGGCGCCGCCCGCACCCCTTGGCAGCACGCTGACCTGCGTCGGCGGGGAGAGGCGGGGGAAACCAGCCCTGCTCCTGCTCGCGTTGGGCGTGGCTTAATGGGGGGGTCACAAATGGGGGGTCAGAAAAGGTCCCCTTTCGTGCCCCTTTCGGGCCCCTCCAGAGCCCCAGAGGGCTCGTTTAGGTACCGTTTGGGTACCTTTTCGAACCACCCTCGCCACCCCCCCATTTATGACCCCCCCATTACGCAGCGCCCAATCGCGGCCCCGCTGCTCCAGTGCTCCACGTGCTCCAGGCCCACGCAGACGACCGCCACGCCGATCTCCGCGCGAGCCCCTCCTCGCCTCCTGCTGCCCCTCCGGGAGCTCTGGCGCTCCTGCCCCACCTCTCCGTCCTCCTCCTCGGCGGCTCCAGCACTCGACCACAGAGCTGTCACCCAAGAGCACCGCCTCCCTCGGAATGGGAGCTCAGGCCGCCCTCAGAGGCCCTGCAAGAAGCGTCCAGGAGCAGGCAGAGTCCCTCCTCCTCCCCCTCCTCCTCCCCCTCCTCCTCCTCCTCCTCCTCCTCCTCCTCCTCCTCCTCCTCCTCCTCCTCCTCCTCCTCCCTCTGCTCCGCATCACCGGGCGTGTCAGTCGGCCGGGCTTTCCCTCTGACGCGGGGCTCTGACGTGTCTGCACAGAGTGTCGGGGCGGCCGTGCCGGACATCTCGCTCGAGGCTTCCTTGCAGTGTACTGCACTGAGGCTTCAGAGATGGC